CCGTCTACAAAATAATCTTAATTCATCGGCCCACCTGTCTAATATGATATATATCTGGGCCCACCCGTCTATGTGATAACAAGCACCCTTGACATACCCGGCTATTTGATACACATCTACCTTGGTAAACCCATCTACATAATATCCAACTACCTCGGCCCATCCGTCTATTGAATATTCATGTCCATCAGCCCACTCATCTACTCTACATATTCCCTACATGGGCCCACCCGTCTCCATCAGGAATAATAACACTCCTGGCCCATCTGTCATAGTCGACGATATATCTACCTTTGGCCCATGGTCCGCTGGCCCATATCATACGGGATATTATGCACGTCCGTTCACTTGTATAATACAGAGATATGTTACTGCAACATGTGGCATTGTAGTATATACCATTGACTGATTCAGACTATCATAGTCGAAAATCCCACCAGATGCAAAACCTCTTGCGTTCATTTTGTATGCCAACAAAGCAAAATTGTCATCATTCGGTCATGCGAAAGGCTATCCAGTAGTCGCTCGCTGTGCTAATCTTCCTATTGCAATTCGCAATGGAAAAGGCTTGGGTGGAGGGCACGTTGTTGGTTGGCTGCCTATCGTTTGCTTTACTCTTCCTTATAACTACTGATGAGTTCATTATTAACACTCAGGACAGGTAAAGGAAGACAAGCAGCATTCTGGAAAGCCTGCTTTTGTCAACTTCAAGAATGCGGTGTGGCACACCTCGTTTCTGAAGATTCTTGACTGTCTGGCACCGCTATTGAGGTTTGGTTCTGCCATCAAATGCTGGGACGACGTTATTCACGTCTTCTATCCAATTGTACTAATACTATCTGCAGACTATGAAGAACAGTACATGTATTCTAGTTCCTGTAACTATTAGATTTCTCTTACATCTCAATGTGTTCACTGTTGTAGGGCTGTAATGGCATTGATTTGTGGTTTAATGGGCAAATTTCCTTGTCCTGTCTGTCTAGTGCCTCACGACGAGCTTTCAAACACTCTCAAGGTATTTCCTCTCCGCACATGCACAGAAACTAAGGCATTGCTTGCTCGAGCGTGAGAATCTTCTACATTGGACGCAAGAGAACAGATCTTGAGTTCCCAGAGCCTCCGTGATGTCGACATGAGTCTTGCTCTTATCCTTATCTTTATCTTACTCAGTCTATTATTACTGTTTTGTTTTCAGAGTTCATTCGGTGTTCTGGAGCACACCGACATTCACAGGGCTCTATCGCACGACAAACTCCACTTCAACGACGAGGGATTGTTCAGTGATCACACCTGGTCCGAACTGCAGAAATGGGTTGAACATTTGGGCCGACAGGCCACTGTCCAGATTCACAGCTTGTGAGTCATTTTTCCGCTGTACTTATGTAGGTTTTCATCTATATTGTCAGCTTTCAATCAATTCCGCATTGGCGAAACCTGAATCACTTTGATCAGGTTATATCAGTATCATTTACCGACAGAACAAAATATGAAGACATCTCTAAGGCGAGCCTAGATCATTCACTTTAATATATCATTCACATTGTTTTAGCTTATTGTATTTGCAGCACATAATGTATTCGACTGTGATACGGATCTGGAGGCATATCTCCTGCTCCGCTGTATCCGAAGCTATGTGGAGTTCAATATGTATGCTTTGTTAGAGGTTCATACTGAAGATACCATCAATAATGGCTGGGAAGCGTTGTCAAAGCTCACTGGATTGATGGATGTACGTATTTTTAGTTCAATTCTAATTCATTGCATTGAATCCAACTGTTTGGTCAGAAATACATCGAGGATACAGCAGAGATGTCCGAGAAGTCCTGGAATTTCCCCATGAAACATCTTTCGGCCCATCTCTTTGATGACATCGAGGCGAAAGGTGTTTCTCGAAACTACAGCACCAAGCCGAATGAGAAAATGCACGGCCCATTGAAAGATGCCTATCAAGATCACACAAATTTGAAGAACTTTGCTGAACAGGTAAGTGACTTCTGAATCTGAGTTTGCATATATATGACTAACAATGAATTTTTTTTAAAATCCTCTGATACAACCATGACAGCTTGATTGTGGAATACATTCGCAACAAGTTGGATCACCTTGACACTCAGAATCTCAGCATATCTGACAACTTAGAAGACCAACCCGATACTGCACTCCAGGAGACCGACAACTCAGATGATATTGATGTTGACTCGACGGAACCTACTGATGCCCAACATTTTACTCTCGGTTCAAAGCAGGCAGCAATGTCATTCACACTCATCAAGGCAGGTAGTCCGGGTAATCCAGCATTTGATAGATTTCGAATCAAGCTAAACGACTTTCTGAACCGTGCGTTTGCTGCCAACAGCATACTGTTTCCAGGTGGACGACAGATTCAACTCGTTGCGAGTGACGTGGTGAGTTGATGATGTTCAATGCTCCAAAATAACATAATCTCTCAGTCCTTTTGAATTAGATCATGGAATATCGATTCCTTAAAGTAAATTTTGAGTCACTTGTCGACTGGCGAGTGTCCATGGACTATCTTCGATGCACTCTGATGTTCCATGGCTCACCGTGATACGATTGCGTCATCTTGCAGACCGACACTGGCATCATCTTTGGCAAACTAGTGTTGATTCTCACATGCACAGTAGGGGATGTTCAATATCCTGTCACGCTTGTTCTCCCATATGATCAACCAGTCGGCATTCGTCCACAAAAGGACAAAGACTTTCAGTTTTGGCACATTAAGAGAAAGCCTAGGGCTTCTGCAGAGTTTTTCTCGGTTCACTCAATTGTTCGGGGTTGTATGATAGTAGAGGATGTCAGCAGACCTGACGAGTTTTTGATTGTTGACACTATTGATACAGATATGTTCCTTCGAATGCAGGACATCCGCAGCCAGTGACTCTTATTACTTCCGACCTCCTTATTTCCCTGCATCTGCCTTCGACTATTAGCAATGTTGGTCCTCATTATTAGGATGATTTGATTAATTTCTTACTACTATTACAATCTTCTTCTATCTTAGTATGATGCACAGCGCCTGTTACTAACTCATTGATTCAGATTCAGAGGGTCATGCTGTGTCACAATGGCCCACCTCATGTCAGGTAATACCCAACATCTGCTGAAGATTCAGTCAAGGACCTGATGAACATTACCAGATCTTTAGTTGCACGCTCAAACCGAGCATCGAGAATCGCCATTGTTGGCCCTTACCACGGAACTCTTCGATATCGAAGAAGTCAAGTATGAGGAGCTGTGGAGCAAGAAATACGCACCCAGACCTGTGAAACAAGGTGCGTCAACCAAGTCTTGACCTTCCTCTCATCGAGATGGGTGATCATGACACATTCAAGGGCAAAATCACCAACAACCCTGGTCCTATTTCTGGAGAACTTCATATCCTTCCTATGCCCTACCCCCAGGCATTGAGGATGCTCACAACTCCTCCCTTGCTCCACAAACTGGACTCTTTCAGTGTTTCATGTCATGGGGCGCAGTAGAGCTTCAATCCGATGTGAGTAGCACATGTGCCGTCCTTTGCCAGTTACTGACCTGTCTTTAGCCTCAAGATGGGGCAGATTGCATTGTCCCACAGGTGCCAAAGATGCCACATAAGGGCAGGAAAGTTGCAGCTGTCAGCCTCATCTGCATGCTCACACAGAGCATGATCATGCTTACGCCTCCTAGTCCCTTGTTCGCGCAACCCATTACACCAAACATCCCCGCCAGTTCCTCTGAGAAGGAAAATTTTGGCGACATCGCCATCATGAAGCTGAATCTCACCATCACCACCATGAAGCTGGATCACACCACCATAACCATCATGCCATGAAGCACAAGAAAGCTGGATCTTTCCTCAGGCATGTCCACCACGTCATCATGGCCCTTGACCTATGGGATCTCACACTTGAGCAACAGCATATAACAGCTGTGAAGGGCATTGTGCCCACGTTGCAAAACAAGGTTGCTACAGTTAATCTCGATTGTCGTCTTGACCTGAAGACCATTGCATTGCACGCCCAGAATGCAGAATATAACCCCAAGGTTGGTACTACTGTTTGACTATGTGTCGTTGCACGCCAATGCACTTTGCACGATAGCATTTTGCAGCTGTCATCATGCGTATTCGTGATCCCAAGACAACTGCACTTATCTTCGCCGAAGCTTGGCTTCGGTGCCAAGTTTGCCAAGTTCAAGATTCAAGACATCGTCGAAAGCTGTGACGTGAAGTTCCCCATTCGCTTGGAGGGTCTTGCTTATAGCCACGGACAGCTCAGCAGTTACGAGCCTGAGGTATGTTGGCGGCAGTTGAGGACTGTTGTTTACTCACATCTGTTTAGTTGTTCCCTGGCCTCATCTATCACATGCTCAAGCTGAGCATCGTGTTATTGATCTTTGTGTCGGGGAAGATAGTGTTGACTGGTGCGGTAAAGACTTTCATTATATCTTCTCGCATCAGTGATTCTTGGATTACTCCAAGATGAGACCGATGTGTTGGTGGATCTGGTTCGAACCCTCCGCTGACACTGTTATTGTTCTCTTCTCCACTGGGTCAGGGAAGATATTTGTACTGCATTCAACACCATCTATACGGTGCTGTGTGAGTTCAGGAAACCTTGATGTTGTCTCCAGTTCAAAACTCATTCTCTTCTTTCTGCCTTCTATCATCTTACGGCTCACACTACACCGCTCGCTGATAGGGCCACCCTGATCTCGACGACTCTCTTCGATGATGGTAGTGAGCGAGACCTATAAAACATCTTTACTGAGGGTCGAAAGACCAGGGAGCAGACGTAGTGCACGGATATTCCTCCTCCTCCCTCTTCACTGATAATATATCTCCATCTACTCAATTTTAATCGCAATTGGAATCATCATTCACGTTTTTGAACATTTCGTTTGTCTTGTGTAGATATCAAAAATTGTCAATGTGATTACGTCAGCATTTGATTGCATTTCTCACTAAGTCATTTGGTTGAGTTTACTATTGTAACCAAGTTGCAACTCCTGAATCTCAGTCTGAAGCCAATTGGGACCACGACTCAAGCACAATTCAACGGATGTCAAGCAAGTGCAGGTGAGTCTGGATTGCCACTTATTAATATCAATAGACTGCCTAATATTGTAACAGGTTCATTGTTTAAATTGGACACCTGGCTGCCGCTGTCCGATCTTTTTTATTATGTCGAGAGCAGCACACAGGTAAGTTAATATTACCTCATGTCATATTGACATCACCTGCATGCTGATTCGATTAAATGTAAGGCCATCATTCACAATGTAATTTCCCTTGTGTTTTCTTTCCTTGTGTTCGGTCCAAGTTGCACAGCCAAGATTGACTATAAATTGTGGTGGGTCCGTTGATATTTTTCGCACTGTGTTTTACTTGACTTGTTGTGATGCCTCAGCGTCCCATTGTGCACCATGACTCGGAGTCCGAGTTAGAGTACCATGATGCATCTGAATTGGATGTACCATTGTCTTTTGTGGCAGTGACCGCATCAGCCACCACTCAGTCATCAGCCTCTTTGCAGGGTGGAGACATGGAGGTAATGATGCCTTCCTTTGCTCGCTATGATTTATTAGTAGCTCTAACTTCGTGCATCTCAAGATCATTCGGTGCCTGCAACTTGAAAACCAGTCTCTCAAGAAAAATAATCGGATGCTGGGCAAGAAGAACAAAGTCTTGGCGTCCAATCAACATAGACGTTCGAGTGTGCAAGTTCCTGACGAGCTGAAGGCCTTCGACATTGAGCTCTCGACCTTCGCTCGCAAATATGGTGTTATTGCTGAGATGTTCCCACCTGAGCACCGCATTCTAAGATTGCTAGTGTCAAACCCTCCGCCCGTCATTATATCCCCTAGTTGTTATGCAACCAAGGGTGCTGAAGAACTTTGCCTTGTGACAGAGGTGTATTTGCTTCTACCGGATCACCTCCATCGTTTTGTACCGACCTCTCATTTTCAATCATTGGTATGTTGGTTTATATGCTTCATCATCCCACCAAATACTAACTGATATCTAATTTAATAAATATTGCAGCTAGAGCACCATCTCCAAGGTGGATGCTCCAGCAAGATTGGCAAAATATGCTTGATGGCAGGGCACATCTTTGGTCTGGATTTGTCCTACTTTGACCTGAGCTTCATGAAGCGGGATACCATTCCTGAGATCCAGAAGATGCTTGGAGGACCAGGTACTGCCGGTGGCCGCTCCTCACTATCAAAGTTTCCGCCCATCCTTTTCACAAATCAAGAGATGGACCCCACAATGTCCATGATTTTTGGTAACTGGGAACCACTCGCAAAGGTAATTTTTAAGCTTGACTCCATTCTTTAAATTGTGCTAATGGATCTATTACATAGGCAATTAGGATCGTGATGTTCAGAAAGAATTCACTAGACATTCCTGGCTGGCCACGCGCTAAGTGCAATGCTCAAAAATGGGGCACAATGTCCTGCACTCCTGGCCTTCTTGCATGGGGTTGGGTCGCAGTGAGTTCTATTTCTGCTATCATTGATCCTCTAGATCAGCATCTAACTACTATTCTCTAGTTGATCTTCATCCTTTCTTCCAACACTTCATTCATGAAAGCTGGAGTTGGCGCGAAGTCTCAGCTACCATACGCTGCCATGTTCACAGCTTATAAGCAGTTGTGGTAACCCTTTGGGACCAGCCTCGTATTTGCACTATCCGCAAAAAGATTGATGCCTACGTCTGGCAATCATCCTCGACTTCCAATATCGCAATGTCCAATGCTGAAGGTGAAGATTTTACCTCTGATCTGATGCGTTTGGCCATCGCAAATGCAGGGCATAAGGAATCCAACAACTTTCCTGGACCTCCGACTACCGACAACAACTCTGTCAATGACATTCCTGGACCGGTCACACCTACTACACCCATGATTGCTCCTTCAGCACCGGCCATTGTCCCTTCAGCACCAGCCATCATGGCACTTGCCCCTGCAAATGCTACCACTGCTCCCAATCCTGCAACCACCTTGCCGGCTATTCCAGCCCCTGGACCACCTGTGGCATCTGAGCCTGCAGGAGCGGCTGCTGCCACTGCGGCCTCTGAAGACTCTGAAGACTCTGGACCTTCAGCAACGGCTGTTGATTTAGAGGTTCCTGGAGTACCTGATGATGTACTGGTGGTAGTGAGCACCCCATCTTCTGGTCGTCGGGGCCGAGGAAGGAAGGCGGGGATGCTGGCACCTATATCTAGTGGACCGGCAAGTGAGCAGGCTGCAGGTCGACCAAAGCGCACTCGGAAGAAGTAGAACCACTACCTACAGACTGCTACTTTACATGTTCGTATTATTTGATATGTTTTGTTGATTCAGAGGATCACAGTGCTGGTTTGCAATTGAATTTACTTGCTCTCAATCATGTTTCAATTAGAATGAAACCTGCCTGTGTGTATTCCAACGTCATTGAAACCCAGTTAGGATATTTAGATAAGCTTTTGAATCTAGATCTCAAGGTATCAAAAAATCAACTTGAACAGTTGCGGCCGACGGTCAATATTGCGAACTTCGTTGAAACCTCATTGGAATTACCATTGTGACATAAACTCAATATTGTAATGTGAAATGTAACATAAATGTAATGTCACACTCTTTTATTGCAACCTATTGGGACCTCGACTTGTCATTGGATCATTGCAACATGTTACAAGGTGACGAAACCCGATTAGGAAATTTCCGACATCTCCCCACCCTCAACTATCAATTTAGCTCATTGTTGAACATTCCCTCATGGCAACCTTTTTCAATCGGGGGCATGCCCCACAAAGAGGCAGAGTCAAGTGTGTCAGCAAGGCAGACAGTTGTGGGACGAAAAGCACTGTCAGACTCACCGGTGTTTGTTAAACATATTCGGAAGAGCAAGAAGAATCCGCCACCATATGGTGCCCAGCACCACCAGGATGCACTTTGGGAAGGTGAGCAACCTCATTGTCATGCTTGCTGACTTACTCAACAAAAGCAGGTGGGAATGAAGCACTCCCTCCTGAATGGTGGCAGTTTAAGAGGCTGGACGGTACAACAGACTATCAAGATAACTCATTCATGATGCATTCATGGAACTGACCTTTACCAGGGGTACGCCTAGGTGAACGACAAATGTAGCACTAGAAGTGAGGGACTCATGCTTGAGCTTAGATTATCCCTGGAATCTTGTTGTTTCCAGATACAAATGGCATATATCACCACTCGGTCTGTCCTACTTCATCAATCACAACACTCAGACCACATCATGGAAGAAACCAATGCCAGAACGTCCATCAGGGAGCTTGATGCCGGAGTGCATTATTGAGGGTCACTCCAAGTGCATATGGAGTCTTGCTTGCTTGGGCGCCAATTGCAATATCATGAGTACTTCGGAAGACGGTTCCATTCAGCAGTGGATGAGAGATGGAGGGCCTGTGGGGAACCCTTTGAATGGTGACAGAGGAGTGGTAGGCTCAATGGCAATATCTCCAGATGAAATGATGGTCATATGCGGAAGTCCAGATGGCAGGCTACGGTTGTGGAACATCAAGGAGGGCAGCATGGTCTGCAACCCATGGGAGGGGCATAATGCTCCAGTGACGTGCCTCAATTGGTCTCCCAATGCCCTGGAGATAGTAAGTGGATCGTATGACGGCACCATACGACACTGGAACACAGATACTGGGCGATAAGTAGCACCAGCAATAGAGACCAGTCACGGTTGGGTGTATGCTGTCAAATACTCTCCACAAGGTGACAAATTAGCAAGTGGCGGTGAGGACAAGATGATCCGTGTGTGTTCAAAGGATGGCAAGCTGCTCATCAAGATCAAGGGACATGAATATGTGGTGCTGTCATTGTGTTGGTCCAAGGATGGCACACACATCTTCTCCTCATCAGCCGATCGCACAATCTGAAAATGGTGGTTGATTGATGGGTAGGAGCTTGTGATTTTTTGAGGTCATACCAACAGTGTCATGTCCATCAGTCTATCCCCAGATGAATACCATCTTGTTAGCACATCATGTGATTACTCAGTTCGCATATGGGACCTCAAGACCAATCAGCCAGTTGGAGACCCACTCTTGCATAATGATGGGGTCGTGGCTCTTGACATTTCAATTGATGGAAAATACATTGCCAGTGCTGGAGTTGATGCAAACATTTATGTATGGAGCATGGAGGCTGTGCTCACACAGCAGGATGAAGATAATGTGAGCATACTTTTGTGTTGTCAGCATCTTTTCTAAGTGGGTTTTGGTTGGTATTCAGAGTGCTAATGATGGCAATACAAAACCCAACGTGAAACTCAAGGCAAGTTAGCTCTGCTTCTCTTTCACACAGCATCTCACTTTTTATCAGGGACGTGCAACCCGACCAAGAGATGTGCACCAATCAATTATTAACTAATTTTTCAAACACTCATTCATCTCGTTAGAACTTTGACCCCCTGCTGGTCTCTAGACAGCGGGCAAACAACAGAGGGGTGGCAAACTATGTCAGTATAACTTTTCATTCCTGAGCTCTCGCAAGGTTGATCCTGATACAGTGCAATGACTTCTGGAATACTGATAGGAACCGCACACCTCATCACACAGCTTCACCTACCATAAACCCATCATCCCCTACTCATTGGTGCAATCTATTCAGTTCGCTGAGTTTCAACACTCCATCTGCAGATGTACCCCAAGCCATACCGCTCCAGCCCAGGCATTGGAATTTTAGATCTCCCAAAAGAATCTCGAAGCAGCTTGTCGACTCGGTTGTTGCTCCTTGTTGCGAGGATGACATGAGTCACTCATCACCACTAATATTCGCCTGTTTCTTACTATTCAAATAAATTTGCAGAGATATGGCATCGCTCCTGAGACTGACGAAGAAGCGGCGGCAGCTATGCAATGCCTAAATGACAACAATGCTGACAATTCAATGACACCTGGACAACCTACAGTGGGTGCACAAGGGTCTCAAGGACGACCAATACAACAAGGCTCAACTGGTGAAGCGGGGGACATTGTCTATGAAGGAGTGAGCTGCTGTGGGTTTTTCTTTGGTTGTTGTCATCCTGCCTTGCATCAGGCATGGGTTTACACCTGCTGAAACACTGTTTGTCATCCAATGATAGTTGTCTCTTTTCCCTTTTGTGTGTTTACAGGCGATTTCACCCCTGCTCGTGCCATCCTATGTACATTGAACATTATATTCGTTTAGATGACCCTATGCAGCAATGCTATTGTCTCATTTCCGCATTATCCCTAATCACTGTTGTCTTACTGACTACTCCATCCTGGTGGGGCCATTTATATTATACGCCAGTTTCTCTAATCTGGCTCGAATCAGCATCATGTCTCTTGTTCATGACCAAACTTTCTTCACCCTGCTCAGACCCCTGGTAAATGTCAGCAACACCATGTAAATGATTGACTTGGTATTATATTACATATCTCGCACACTACTCTGGCACCAATGAGTACACCTTCTTTGACCCCAGTCAATTAATAGCACCTTCCCATAGTGCATCACAGCAATCTTATGAGTCATAGGGCAGTGGAGACCACATCTTCATTCAGTCCATCCATGCTGAGCGAGTTCCCTGATTCTGGATTGTGGATAAGCAGATGGCATATCTGTGGGTTCGTATTTAGTTCATAGTTAGTCAACGTCTATGTCATTCAATTAGAATTGTTAATCATCATTGATTAAATCATGTGCCTAGGACTGACAAGTCGATGGTGCATCTGAATTACATCAAAGAAAAGGAATTTTACCAGCCTCTCCTTTGCAATTATGTTTAATATAACCGCTGTGATCCTCTTCATTGCCACCTAATCAAACACGGATCTATCTTCGAGTGAGTAGTGACCTTCAAGGGAGACTGAACAAGAGATGCAAGATCTCGGAGATGTCTTCAGCAGGAGGTAGCATATCATAAAATAGCACAGTCGATATTCCAGCCTGTAATATAGAGACCGTCACAACTGGCCTCATTGAACGGCAAATATTTCAAGTCGATGACTAACACACTACTTTGGCAACGTAGGTACCTGAACCATGTATGTTTGACCTTTGGATTGGACACATTCCCCCCAAAATTGGTGACAGCTGAGTCTGAACTGACTGTAAACTCAGGCTCCTCCCCACCACTGCTGGAGAGGTAAGGGCGGTGGTCTACTAGGGCAGTAGTACCACGCTTAGTAAACCAGAAACATGCGCAAATCTTTCAAACCCAGCCCAACCTCATCCACACAACCTCTCCACCAGTGGCTGGAACAAAACGCTTGTAAACAAGGTCAGCCACTGTCATGAAACCCAGAAAGAGACAGCGGAGTCACAAATATGTAAAAAAAAAATCGTGAAATATATAGATTATATAGTTGTTCCCAACATATTATCCTTTTTTGTCTTATGCTGGCTGAAGCCCTAGCTTCTCTGCCATTCAAGAGAAGCTCTGAAATCATTTCAGCAAGAGACAGGCTATACTGTCATTCTATTGCATTAAAACGGGCTAAGTGTCAGTGGACAGTGATGCATGGGGGGTGCTAAGTGTGGGCTGCATTACCTTCTCACCCAAACTGGCAGTGTAATCACCTCCTCATATTAGGCCTCTCCACACTATTCCCACACATTACATTTCCGCATTTTTCAATCACACAGTGTGGGAATTACCCCACAACACCCAACACATCACCCAATATGGTATACCCCACAATTTCAATTATTCCCACACCCTCCCCACCTCACTGCAGCTTCACCACCACACCACAATAGCTCCCCCTGTATATATATGTAGTAGCTTGGTATATATGTGTATAATACAATATAATAGACTGCTTTTTGTTTATTTGTGTGCCTGCTCCTGCTCCAGGGGCCATTCAAAATAGGGTAGGGTACAAAACACTTTCGCATTTTTGCCCCTTTGATAGGGAAGTGTTCCAGGGCATTCAGAACATGTTTAGGAGCATACATGAAGAGATTACCGTCTTTATTTGACCCCCTGAAATGCCCTACATCAATAGGTACAGTATATGCATGGAAAATACAAAATAGGTTCGTGTTTTTTTTTTGTTTCTAGCTATATGAACTTGAAAATATTGTCCCCAGCATCTATTTAACAGTAGGAACAATGTATAAGGAGCTCAGGACCATAGGACAAGATCTTGTTGTGTAGTGCATCCCCCCTCTCCTGGTGGTTTACCCCCTGTGAAAAAATTTCCTGTAGGACCAGACCTCAATTGAGGTAGGGGGTATATTTATATGTATATCTGGAGTAGATATGCTAGCTATATGATTGGTAAACCACCAGGAGAGGGGGGATGCACTACACAACAAGATCTTGTCCTATGGTCCTGAGCTCCTTATACATTGTTCCTACTGTTAAATAGATGCTGGGGACAATATTTTCAAGTTCATATAGCTAGAAACAAAAAAAAAACACGAACCTATTTTGTATTTTCCATGCATATACTGTACCTATTGATGTAGGGCATTTCAGGGGGTCAAATAAAGACGGTAATCTCTTCATGTATGCTCCTAAACATGTTCTGAATGCCCTGGAACACTTCCCTATCAAAGGGGCAAAAATGCGAAAGTGTTTTGTACCCTACCCTATTTTGAATGGCCCCTGGAGCAGGAGCAGGCACACAAATAAACAAAAAGCAGTCTATTATATTGTATTATACACATATATACCAAGCTACTACATATATATACAGGGGGAGCTATTGTGGTGTGGTGGTGAAGCTGCAGTGAGGTGGGGAGGGTGTGGGAATAATTGAAATTGTGGGGTATACCATATTGGGTGATGTTTTGGGTGTTGTGGGGTAATTCCCCACCTGAGTGACACCTATTCCCACACTTGTTAGTAACGTACATAGTATAACATATTTGTTACTAACGAGGGGGGCAAACCTACGCTGCAGTACTTCAGCGATAGCTGCAACAATCAGCAGTGACTTCAGGAATATTAAGAGGGCAGGTAAATAACATATATATAATATAAATAACATACATTATATAAATAACATATCAGGCTATTGATTTGTCATCTCCCTGGATATCTCCTTTAAAACACTGCCGCTACGCCTTCTGATGGTTCCCACGCCCCTCTCTTTCCATCTCCACATCGTCCTTGACGACGTGCTCACTATCCCGCTCATTCCTCTCCCAACTCTAGCTGTTCTTTTGGTTTTAGCTTGTCGACACCCTTGCATTCTACGACACTCTTTTCCTTCTCTCATTGCCCTGTATAATCTCTTGCCAGGAGCTACAAGGTATGTTGCTGTCCTTATGCCTCCTGACACCTCTAACGCCTCCAATGTCTCTCTCTTTCATGCCCTGCATCGTCCTCGACAATGTGCTCGCTACCGCAGTCATTCCTGGCCCAGCTCTACCCGCTCCTTTTGATTGCTCCAACCTCGTGTTGATCGGTCTTTGCCAGCGTTTGCTTTTACTCTCCATGCGACGTGTCCTTGCCCAAGTCCCGCGCTACCATGATCACCACGCTACCACGATCACCACGCTACCATGATCACCATGCTACCATGATCACTGCGCTACCACGATCATGTTCTTCCTAATGTGACGTGAACCTTTTTTTCAATCAAACGAGCTTGACCCTGATGATTATTGCGCTCAGTGTTATCATTACTGTCCTATCAATGTGTCTAGAAGGTGCATAGTACTAGTCTGAATCCGAATCCGAGTCTGAGCTTGAGCTTGAGCTCAACTCGTCATCAGTGTTGACAGTGGCTTTACTCTTGGGTTGTGAAACGCGAGCCCTGGCTTTCCTTTGCACATAAACTTGTTCCCCATGTGCATGCCGATCCCGGTTATCCTTCATCCTCTTGACAAGCTCCTCGTCTGAGAGAGACACCCACTTGCACAAATCAGACTTGAGAGCATTTAACAAAACCTGAACCTGCGCTCTTCCACCAGCCTTCGAGGGATTTTTCACCCCCCCGGCAAGGGCCACTTAGTTAGCTCGACACCATGACGTTCTACTATAGCGCGCTCGTAGTTTGTATAATTCATTTTGACTTTGCCTGACACATTCTTTTCCATTAAGATAAATTCTTTGATGAATTATGTTAGTGATGGCACGAGGGGACACCACGAAGCACATACCAAGGTTATCTTGGATAAGTTCACGGCATTCACTAATAAGTTTGTTGAGCAGCCATTGACAGTTAAGTGTTACATGTTCATCTTTGAGACAATCAGTAGGCTACAAGATGAGGACAAAGATAACATACCAAGCTTGCTAATCACGAATGCTTCCAGCTTCAGTCCGAGATGCTGTGGCTCAATGCCTAGCACATCCCGAACAAATTTTTGAGATTTCTCTGTAAAAAAAATCTTTGGTTCTGCAAGATCTTCAATTCTGCCGTGTACTGCCACATAAAACCCCTCCAGACCAGTGCGTGCATGGAGACCCATCCACTGAGGATAAATTTCAGTTGTATTAGTGGTGGTGTCTCAGACGGTAAATAGATAAATGAAGATGTGCCAGAGACGGCGGAGACAAATGAGTAGACAGAGGGCAAACGAATAGATGAGAGATGCCACGAGGGCAAATGAATAGACGAGAGATGCCATGGAGGGCAAACGAATAGACGAGAGATGCCACGAGGGCAAATAAATAGACGAGAGATGCCACAGAGGGCACAAGAGAAGTGACAGGGACAGACGGATAGACGAGAGATGCCACGAGGGCAAATGAATAGACGAGAGATGCCATGGAGGGCAAATGAATAGACGAGAGATGCCACAGAGGGCACAAGAGAAGTGACAGGGACAAACAAATAGACGAGAGATGCCACAGAGGGCACAAGATACTGCGACATACCTCATGATCCATGGATGTGAATGCTGCATTCACATCATGTTTGACGGCCTTTGGGTTTGAGCGTGCAGTACGGTTCTTTTCTTGGCGATCCTCGAGAACACAGGCATTGTAAGCTTGCTTTTCAGCAAAGGTTAGCTTGCGATAATCTCGGAGTAACGTGGCCTTGTTTTCTGCGATGAAGGCCGTAAGTTTTGTGCGATCGCCTCTGCCTAAGCCTAACGAAAGATTTGTGAGCACCAGTGTTACTTTGCAAATTAAATTATTACACTGACCTTCATTTTCATCCTTGAGTTGGGCTTTGACAAATGCGTTCCAGGAGTTAACACCTCTGGTCTTCTGTAGCATGCGACTGCGAAGAAACAGTTGGTTTCTGTTCCACTTCACTGATCTACAAGACAATTAATATATATCAGCAATAAGATATTTATGATGCAGACTCGCCGGCCATGTTTTTGTGCTATGTCAGCAGCCTCTGCTTTGTACGACTCCTTGGCAGTGTCAATATCATCAGCGAGTGCTTTGCGACAGGCACGCTGTTGAGCCTTTTGGGTCGCCGTCAGTTGTGCACGCACTCGATGAATTTTAGGAGTCAGACGAGGAACCATTGAAGTCAAGGAGTGAATGGCAGCAAAGTTTTATACATTTCAAGTTCAGGGACAAGGACAAATACATGAAGTGAACCGAGATATTGTGAACGAAGCAATATGAGTGGTCCATCATATGCGAGAATGGAGCGAAGCGAAACAACTAAGTCCAGACTAGATTGAAGGTTAGTCAGGTTGAAACAGAGTCCAAACGGGCGGAACTCACTAAGTTTATGGTCACGACTTGCACTAGCCATAATTTGAAGCATGTTGTGATGGCGTTTTTCTGGGATATCAAGCTTCACAAGTATGGCCTTCCAACTGCTTACTTGGTATCCTTCAACCTGCTGGATGCAGCGCCAGATCTCGTCCTTAGTACTGTGGTGAAGGGAAAGGCCAAGAAGTGCACTGTCAATTTCACCACAGATACGGTCATAACCTGCATCGCGAGTCGACTGAACGGGACCTGGATCAGATGTCATGAGGTAAATGTGGTTAGTGACTGAAACTCCGTCCTTGTCGCCGCGCAACATGGTTTTCATTTGCACTGCATTTCCCGCCTCATTGCCGACCAGCTGTTTTTTTTTTCCCTGTCAAAATCCGTTAGTTGTCAGGACATTTCTCAGGGTCAGAACACCCACATTGTGACGTTTGTGTGATTCCTTCACATCAGAAGAAGTTGGTTGAGCTGTTAGTTTCTTTACGGCAGGGGACGTGCGCTTCGCTAATATGAAAGGTCATGATGGGGGGCTCAGACCACCCGAAAGAATGCGATCTTCTGTCATACGAGCAGCATGTTCTACAGCAGCACTGGTATTAGGTAGTGGCTGGGCTGCTAAGACGAAAGCGCGTGATGGTATTGTGAGGGGACTCGCGCTGCCTGGTAGTATACGGACATGATAACCAGCGTCGTTCGGCTGTGTGACATGCTTAGGGTGCCGCTTTGTGACTCTGCTTGCTTCAGCGAGATCATGGCCCTTGGACACAGGAAGTGCAGATGGTTGAGGGAATGGCGTAGAAGTGAAATCTGGGCTGCCAAATGTAGGGAAAGTCGAGTCACTCGAATGGTTGGTGTTAGACCACGAAGTCAGGAAGTCAAATGACTCGGATGTGAAAGATGTGATACTGTCGTCAGGAGTCTGATGAGCGTGGCGACCGTTGGATGAGTCTGAGGGATTTGGAAATAAGAAACCGTCTGGTTGGACATGTTCAGAGGACGTGCTAGAATTTTGGTCCAATGCTGCTATTCCTGCTGCACAACTGTTAAAACAAACTTATCAAAGCCACAAGTGAATCATACGTACTCTCAACCATGCTTTTAGGTAGTTTGACCTCATTCCAGCAGAACCAGCGCTGACAGACGAGTGGCGCAAGCCGATTCAGCAAAATATCATGCATGATTGTCGCTGTGGCCACCTCAGCCTCAGTCTCGAGGGGACAAGAAGATGCAACAGCAGTAACGATCTGAGGGGATGCGCAAAAGTGTCCTGGTTTCTTTAAGAACTCGAATGCTACTGATAGTTTTATTTCGAAGTGATCTTTCTTGAAAAACAGATTCAACAGTAGCTCGAATCATTTAAATGATAAACTTACAATTTCCCCTTGCAAATCAAGATACTCTAGACGATTAGGGACAGGATCCAGCTCAACAGGGAACAAGCGAGGTGACATAGACAACATTGAGTAAAACAACAGTGAAGTGAGCACAGTCAAGAAGTAAGATTATCGAGTCTGTTTGTTCGGTACGAGGCATTTGATAATGGCAGCAAGAATTAAATTAGTCATAATGAACAGTATCGAGTAGGATTTGCAAACACTGAGAGCTCAATTGAATGTGCTATTTTAAAGGGTCAGCACAGAGCTCAACTTCCTAAGCTTTAGTTTTCAATGACATAGTTTGCAATGCCAACATGGATGGTCGAGATATTGTGTTGTGCCCACTGATCAAACGGGGCTCAATTAAATGTGCTACTACTAGTAAAAGGGTCACAAGCAAATATACGAGAGATGCCACAGAGGGCGCAAGAGAAGTGACAGGGGAAAACGAATAGACGAGAGATGCCACAGAGGGCACAAGAGGAGTGATAGGGGAAAACCAATAGACGAGAGATGCCACAGAGGGCAAACGAATAGACGAGAGATGCCACAGAGGGCACAAGAAAACGAATAGACGAGAGATGCCACAGAGGGCACAAGAGGAGTGACAGGGGAAAACCAATAGACGAGAGATGCCACAGAGGGCGCAAGAGAAGTGACAGGGGAAAACCAATAGACGAGAGATGCCACAGAGGGCAAACAAATAGACAAGAGATGCCACAGAGGGTGCAAGAGAATCGAAGCAATGTGACATAGAATTAACGGTATGAAAGTTACAAAGAATGCGATACTAAATCTTCAAGTCTCATGGCCTCCTCGTTCATAGCATCATCTTCAGGACCATTCACGCTACCCTCATCATCTCTGTCTCCATTGGATGCAGTCACTGTCTGGTCTGTAGGAAGACGATCACCTGTGTATCTGTCGAGTGCGTAAATTTGTTGGAGTCGCTTGCGATGGTTGTTGTTGACACGGTGGTGCTTGGCATACAATGTCTTCAACTCAGCTATGAATGGAGAATCTGGGTCATCAGTGAGGAGTGAATCAATAGCTTCCAACGTGGTCCTGTCCTCGTGCTCAAGCCAACAATGTAAGCGTTTGATCTCGACGTTGAGCCGTACAATCTCTTCGTGTGATCGCACCAATTTGAAATACCTCGCGGCCATCTCGCGATTAGCAGACACAGTCCATGGTTTTGTAAGGATATTGTGGCGTGAGTGTTTCAGAACCGAAAATTCACCGAGGGATGCGTAACCGACGATTTCGGTATAGTCGAGCACGGGACATGGTGGATTTTGTAAGGGTGCGAGTCTATTGTACTTCTCCAAAGCCATTTGGATGGCAGCCGAACGTCGTGTGATGGCCTTTGAGATATACTTTCTCATCTTGTAGCCTATGGTAGTCCATGAGTACATCACTTATCTGAATGTCCAATAAGCACCTACCAGTGCTGGCAAGATTAGCCTTTGATAACTCAAAAAGACGCCAAACAACTAAGCCCTCCAATTCCTCAACCGCATGAATGAATTGACGTTCCTGAGAATATCTGACTGCTTGCGTGTATTTTGGGTCATGCGGTAGCCACCGCTCCGTAATGCTGTGACGATGCTCGAAATCTTCGACAACATTCAATTGCAGCTCATATTTGCATAGCACAGATGCATGCTCAGATTCGAATGCTTTGGAATTGTTGTGAGCGGTGGCATTGAGGCCAGATGTGCGAGTGAAATTTGCGGGAGTGTACGTCAGAAAGGGCACAGAAGTAAGACGGCCATATGTTTCTCTAAAACATGCAATGAGAACTACACAAGTAAACAGGGCGCAAAGACGAACTCCGCATATTGAAGCTTCTCAAGCTGTTCAACGTAAGCCACTACAATTGCATCCGAAGTAGGTTCCGTAGCAACCTTGTTGAGATACTCAAACTCCTCATTTCGCCAGTTTATGAAGTCCACATCCGTAAGATCATGGAGCTGCTTGAATTCCTCGAGGATGGGTGTGTTGGTCTCAATGATCTGAAGAGCTTGAACATAGTTGTTGTAAAGAAATGCGCCTGAAATAGTCAGAAAAAAATTGCTGTTGGGCGCTCAAAAAGACATACCAAGGTCTGAGTACCGGTCCATGTCCCACGGATCGAAGTGGAGGTCGAGGAACTACATCCAATGGAAGTATCATGCATGTCGGATCAAAATTGCAGCACTGTTTGAACTAGCGAAGATGCGTTCGCAAGTCTCGAGATCTTCAAGTCCTAGACCATTGAGATACAAAGGGTGATTCTGAAGCTGACAGCAGCAGTCATGAGAAAAGCCGTGGAAGGCGTTTACAACAACCTATAGATTTAGTCCAGCTGCCTTGACTCCGATAGAACTTGTCGCGATTGTTTTGCGAGATGAGCATGCAATATTGTGTCTGATAGCCTGATCCGCGCCGCAGACGTTGAGCAGTCTGTTGACTGTGGCCAGACCATATTTCGCGCTGTTGGATGATTAGCATAGTACAAACGAGAGTTAAAACATGTACAGTTCACCGCTGCGTTTCATTTCAGTTACACTTTCGATGAGCCCATGACGACATGCTAAAAGAAAAATCCCTGTCTGGTCAAACACAGTAATTTTATCATTGTCCACAGCCTTGGCTGCAGTCCAGTTCTCTGTGCAAGCGCCCTATATCGTTGATTCTACCGTGGAGGATTCACCGGTTCGACACCGAACATCATCCTTGAATTGGTCTACCTTGGCCTCAGAAATAAAATACCGGCTCTGAAATAGGCGCGGATCAGCTGATCCTGACCCGTCCAATCGCTTGGCTGAGAAATTGCCGTCCATCGCGTGAAGACGTGCTGGTGACAATAATGACTCATTAGGTTGCTGTAAAATTGATTTAATTATATCTACATATTTGAGAATGGAGCGTTACCTTGAATGTACAGGAAGGACAAGAACCATTGATCTGCCAGGTATTGGGATCTCTGCCCAAGATCCGGTCAACGCGACTCCAAATTTCCCGCAAGATTTGTACAGTGGCTCAAAAAACTGTCCACATGTTTTCACATTTTTCACTATCTATGATATTGTGAGAGAATATACAAACACATCAAGGACATGCTGGTACCATATTGTAGTACTACTTCAGGGCTTCCAATTGAGCCCTATGGCGTGGGAATTGGTCGAGATATGGTGGAGATATGAGGCTTACAAAATGATGACTCATGTGGACAGTTTTTTGACTCAAGTATTTTACAGTGATAATCAGGTATTCTAGTACATTGTGTGACCTCCCTTGGCTTTAATTACTGCCTCTATCCTTCTAGGCATACTCTTAAAACTATATCTAACTATATAAACCAGAATGTCTCATGTGTCATGGTCATAATTACCATGAAAGCCGTCTCCTCTACTCAAAGGGATAATATCTTCTCTTTGTCCTATGCTGGCCTCTCTGCTCATCAAATTTCCTCTAGAACTGAAGTATGCAAGTCTACTGCAGCCAAGTGTATCAAAGAAAGCCACCTGGACAAGGAAAACTCTTGTGGAGGATGTCCACCTCTGCTAATAAGGGGGCTATCATCCAACATATCACTACAGGAAAGGCTAATAATGCCCTCCAAGCCACCCATTATACCAATTCCACCATCACCACCACTGTCTCTTCACAAACTGTGAGGAATGTTCTCAAGGCAGCTCATCTCAAGGCAGTAACAAAGAAGAAATGCCTCTTATCTCTATTAAACATAGGCTGAAAAGACTACCTTTGGCTTGGCCCATCAAAACTGGACTGTAGAGGACTGGAAGCATGTTATATGTTCAGATGAGACCAAAATCAATAGGATTGGGTCAGATGGGAAGGTATATGTATGGAAAAAGAAGAGGGATTTTCTAACAGACAGAGAGGTTAGTGAGGCTGTCAGATTTGGAGGAGGTTCTCTAATGGTATGGGGCTGTATGAGATGGAATGGTGTGGGTATGCCCACTGAAGTTGAGGGGAGGATGGATGCTGAGCAGTATGTGGACATTCTAAATGACCACTTGCTGCCTAGCATAGCTGACTCAGGGATTGATGAAGAAGACATCATTTTCCAACAGGATAATGATCCCAAGCACACATCTAGGAGAGCCAGACAATGGTTTAAAGAACATAATATCAATGTTCTTGACTGACCAGCACAGTCCCCTGATGTCAATGTCATTGAACATCTCTGGGGAATACTCAAGAAGATGCTTCAAGCCTATGAAACCCCCCCTAAAGGAGTATAGGAGCTATGGGAGAGAGTAGCAGTGGAATGGGCAAGGATTACAGCAGAATATTGCCAGAAATTGATTGAGAGTATGCCTAGAAGGATAGAGGCAGTAATTAAAGCCAAGGGAGGTCACACAATGTACTAGAATACCTGATTATCACTGTAAAATACTTGAGTCAAAAAACTGTCCACATGAGTCATCATTTTGTAAGCCTCATATCTCCACCATATCTCGACCAATTCCCACGCCATAGGGCTCAATTGGAAGCCCTGAAGTAGTACTACAATATGGTACCAGCATGTCCTTGATGTGTTTGTATATTCTCTCACAATATCATAGATAATGAAAAATGTGAAAACATGTGGACAGTTTTTTGAGCCACTGTAGATAGATATCGAACGCATCAGAAAATTGATCGCGAAACTGTCGAAAATATGTAATCTGTATAGTAAGTGAGTATGACATCATACATAACACGCTACAACACTTACATCATGCAGTGCACACAAAACCTTCGTGATTGCTTGGATACTAAACGAGGATTGACGTCGTCGTATTTGGTGATATAGTTTGAGGCATTCTATGCGAATAGCGATAGTCAGCCGTAGTGGGGAGCACCCCAAAAGTCCCATGCGAAGGAGGGATGCATTCGCTGGTTCATTAGGACGCTGCTGGATGGTGATGGCATGTGCAAAACCTTTGAATGTGGTTGAGTATAAGTAAGGGCCATGTATTGAAGGAATGAAACCTTACCGGAAATTCCAACAACATCAACGTGAAACATGTTAGACGCAATGGTATTGTCTTCATCAGTTGGTGCTTCATGTCTCCATGCCAAGTAGCCATCAACAAGGGTGGGCATCTGCTCCTTCCAAGCAGCATTGGCATGCTGGCGACGTTTTGTTCGGGTCCGCACATCAATGCGCCCGCGTATAGGAGGTTCCCTAGAGATAAACGTTAGATACCTATGTAGAGGGGGGAAAATGCTTACCGTTCTTGAGAGCATGTCTTGAAAAATTCAGACAAAAGCGGACCACCCACAGGCTCGTCCTCAGCGAACTCATTTATGCTATCATCAACAATCTCGCCTCCAAAGTCCATGGTCTCCAAGGAATCTTGCCCAGCCTCCAACTCGGCTTCAGCGAGCAGCTCCTGCATGCATCTAGAATTGTCTGATGAAAGTGAGCAAGAGACCATCATGAGAATAAGTGACATACCTCAAATCTGGCGCTGTTCTCGCTCCCTGCGAAGCCGCGACTCTCGTATTTGAGAGAGCGATGATCTGGAAGTATGAAGATCCATGGAACTACTGAGAAGAGTCATGGTAACTCTCGACGATGTTGACATCCGTTTTCTCGGGGGAACCATGATGGTGGTAGTGTAGAACCTGAGCAAGGGACACATCGCATGAAGAGTAAAAGCAAGCGCCGGCAAAGACCGATCAACACGAGGTTGGAGCAAACAAAAGGAGCGGCATGAGAATGTCATCGCGTCCATTGAGAGAGCGAGCGATGGTCCATAGGATCCCGAAAACCAAAAGATCGGCTAGAGTTGGGAGAGGGATGAGTGGGATAGCGAGCACGTCGTCAAGGACGATGTGGAGATGGAGAGAGAGGGGCGTGGGAACCATCAGAAGGCGTAGCGGCAGTGTTGTAAGGGAGATATCCGGGGAGATGACAAATCAATAGCCTGATATGTTATTTATATAATGTATGTTATTTATATTATATATATGTTATTTACCCGCCCTCTTAATATTCCTGAAGTCACTGCTGATTGTTGCAGCTATCGCTGAAGTACTGCAGCGTAGGTTTGCCCCCCTCGTTAGTAACAAATATGTTATACTATGTACGTTACTAACAAGTGTGGGAATAGGTGTCACTCAGGTGTAATTCCCACACTGTGTGATTGAAAAATGCGGAAATGTAATGTGTGGGAATAGTGTGGAGAGGCCTAATATGAGGAGGTGATTACACTGCCAGTTTGGGTGAGAAGGTAATGCAGCCCATACTTAGCATCCCCCATGCATCACCACCTACTGATACTTAGCTGTTTTAATGCATTACCCCTACAGGATCTTGTGCAAGAGAGCCTGCTTGTGGCAACTCAAAGTCACAGATGTGTTCCTGCAAAATGACCATGATATTATCTGCATAGTGGGGACAGGGATGGGCAAAACACTTGCCTTCTGGTTGCCGTTAGCCCTCAATGACATGGGCATTCTGATCGTTGTGACTCCACTCGACCAGCTAGGGGAACAAAGCATCTCAATCTCTGCTGAGACGGCAAGCATGGAAAATTTCTGTGTAAGTTAAAGATGATCTGTTAGTTTTGAACATTTAACCAATGTGCTCGCTGCAGGGAATAGAAGACTCATGTTACCGTGCAATCATAACCAGCCCAGAACAGTTGATGAAACCAGGTGGAGAGTTTGAGAAGCTGTTGTGAAATGTTAACTTTGCCTCAAAGTTAATTGGTATCATCTTCAATGAAGCTCACTGCATTGTGAGCTGGGGAGAATTTCAGCCTGAGTACAATGAATTAGAGCACTTGTGTTATATCCTACCTTGTCAGGTACCTTTCATGATTGCATCAGCAACGCTCACATCAGATGCTCTCAGAGACATATGTAGGCTCCTTCACATTCAATTGGAAAATCTCATCCCTATTCATGTATCCACCGACCACCCTAATATCAAGATTGGAGTCCGTAAAATTAAATACTCCCTTGCGTCCTATGCAGATCTTGCATTCCTCATACCTACCGGCATGAAATTAGATGATCCACCACCACCAAAATTCCTCATTTTCTTCGACAGCATCCAAGATGGAATAAGTGCTGCAAAGTACTTGCAGGCGCATCTCCTGCCAGATCTATGAGACAAAGTCAAATGGTTCAACTCCAACATGACCACTGAATTTAAGGAGGCCAAAGTCATGAACCTCTTTGCTGGAGATACATGGGGTCTGTGTACCACAGAGGCATTTGGAATGGTGAGGCATGCGAGCCAAAATCATGATGTTCAGGAGATATTAATTAATGTACAGGGAATGGATGTACCAGATGTGACTTTGGTCATTCAGTGGTGAGCATTGTGCAAGTTGTCCGCCCTTTGGCAGTGGTTTGGTCGTGCAGCCCGAGATCATGCACTGGAAGGGACTGCATTGCTGTTTGCGGAAAAGGAGTACTTTGATGATGTATGTGAAGATAAGCGTAAAAACAAAGCAACAAGTGCACCTGATAGTCAACCGGCTGCCAAACACCGTTTAATTAACAGTTCAACCACTGTTGATATTCCACACCCAGAAGAAGGTGATGGTACTCAGGCTACTAGTAGTGGTTCAGTGGAAAACACACCTATAGTTACTGATGCACAGTTGAGGGAATTAATGAGACCAGCAAGCACATTAGAGAGGGCGTCAAGGCAGAAGAAAGAGAAAGAATTAGATCAAGCAATGGACTTGCTAATCAATGCCAGTTATTGTGGTGTTGGGTGTCATTGGAAGGTATTTAATATCCAATTTGACAATGAATCAGCAGGTGAGATTTTCCTAACTATATTAATAATTGCAATAATATTTTGTAGATTTGAGTCACCTTATATGCAACGCATCAGATGCAGAAGGCTGCTCACATTGTGCCCCAATAATTCCTAAAGTGTGCTGTGACATCCATCACCCTTTAGCATTCTCATCATTTAATCCTATCATTGTCCCTCAACTGCCCAGACTTCCCATCTGCTCTTGACTTGCAAAATATACCATGGGCCCACAGGAGTTCAAATTGTGTGAGGCGCTGGAGGATTGCAGAGACCAGAAGACAGTGGAAATATATGGACGTTCACACCTTATTGATCTCGGTCCAACCATTGTGATGGGTGACTCGGCCCTTGACTGGATTGTTGACTGCACCCATTTTCAGAAGATTAAGATCACTGATGATCTCCGCAAGGAAACACATTGGTCTGTCAATGACAACCTGGCCAGAGAGGTGATTGCTATAATCCACCGCATCATTCCAATTTCGCTCTATACAACTGCCCCCCTAAAACAATGCCCTCTACCTACCACTGTCAATGCACCAAACAGTGGGTTAGATCAACATTCAGCTCACATTGCATCAAATGGTCCACCTGCCGGTGTCAAAAAGGTGCAGAAGTGCAGCACTTGTGGCCAGGCTGGTCATAACAGTAAGTTTTTGCATTACTTCTCCTCATCTCCACTGACTCTACCTTGTGACCAGAACATGGCCACATCTGTCCAATGCATCCATCATGGATACCTTCCGCAGCTGAGAAGGGGAATGTATAGTCTACCACCAAATGCTGGTCCACAGTCATAATATTAGAATATATACACACATCATATATCTTACCTACTACCAGACTAATTCAACAGCAATATCATCAACTGATGGGCGCTCATCCTCACCTTCCCCAACAACAGCGGCTTCTTGCTCTCCACCTTTGTTATCTATGCTACTCTTTTCCATCAACTCCTGTCCCTTGGCAAGGATGTCAGGGATGCTGTGTATTTCATTTACAGAGTGTTTTGTCATGCATTCACATAGGATTTGGAATGTTTTCACTCCAAATTTGGGGCACATACTTGGCTAAGGGTGCAGCACAAGAGCTGAAGCCAAGCCCCGACCCCTCCGCTTCTTGAGCCTGGCACAGTACCTAACATGCAGATTGAAGACATTCTCCTGTTTCAAGGTCACCGTGGAAGAGAACCACATACTCTGAGATGTCAGGCATGTCGGGATCATCAATGACTGCAGGATCTCTGATTCCGCCCTGCTCTAGCAGGTTGACAATGCTTTGTATATTCCCTATGACAGTAGAATTACTGATATCCATTGCAGATGTAGCAATAATTGGCATTTTGGTGATAGGGATGGCTTCAATAGCCTTGGGTTCGTGAAGTTTGTCGCAGAATTGAGAAAAGTATGGAGGGCAGTATGAGACGAGGTCCAAGAGAAACTTCCATGAATTAAATCTATCGTGGCAGCCAAGACCTGAGTCACCGGGTGTGTTCACATGAAGAACAAGCAGATCTGCCCATCCCTTCTTTGGTGGCGGTTCTGCTCGGGTATTAAACGGCGACATCTTCCACAACTCTTCAGAACACCTAAGTTCTTCCTTGGAGATGTCATGCTGCAGTGGGAACATCAGACCTGATGTTAGATGCTTGAGAGATTCCATTGAATTTTCAATCTTGTGCTCATGGGTTTTCAGGTCTACATCAAAGTTTTCATAGGCATATGTCGTGAGAAGTGACTGTCCGAGTGACCGGAGGTGTTGGTGGGTTTGCACTGCTAATGATTGTGTCGCAGCATGAATACTGTCCGAGTGACCGGAGGTGTTGGTGGGTTTGCACTGCTAATGATTGTGTCACAGCATGAATAGCATTCACAGACACTGATATACAGATCTGTTCCAGTGTTTCAATAACTTTTTGCAGTGTGTGCATCGATTGTAGGAACATCCCGAGTAGACTTTGCAAGGTATTTGAACACTGATTCGTGCTTCTTATCATGATGCTCAGAACGGTGATTTTTTTCTTGATTACATGTAGCAATGTCAGTAAAATTGATTCAGAAGGCAGTGAAATAACACACAAGCAAGGTCTTTGCTGCCCATTGTTTTTGCTGTTTGGTTCTCTCAAATTCCGCATTGTTGCCAAGCCTTAATATTAACAATCCCTCGAGATCCCCTTCCCCAATCTCCTCCCAGTAAGCCTCTTCATCACTATTGCTATTTTCCATGATGACATCACTGTCATGATCTCTCTCGACGGTTACTTTAGATTGTGTTCCCCCAGACAGCATGCTCTTGAGCAAGTTCCATGTAACTGGTGCATATTTCTCCATGATTCTGGCTAACTCGGCCACCCTAAAATCCTCCAGTTGCTTCACCATAGTGTGTGTTACATCAAAATGTGTTGTGCTACCCTTAGCAGCAAGGTTATGAATTTCTCATGCACAGATGTCCTTCATAATATCAGTAGCCCATTTTGATGCAATACTTGAAGTTTGTTTTGTAAGAGCCTTAAGAATTTCACGTTTCACGTCCATTTGAGAGGATATCTTTTACAGCCAGATGAGCACTATGTTTTTCACTTGAGAGAAGCACCAGTATAAATTCTGAAGCTGCAATTCCAACGCGCTGCAGGGTTTCAAGAACGTCGTCCACTGGGTCAGTTAATGACATATTGATATATACACATATATTTGTTAGCGATACAATATCTAATTGAACTATTTGTGACTCCGCTGTCTCTTTCTGGGTTTTGCAACAGTGACTGACCTTGTTTACAATCATTTTGTTTCCAACCACTGGTGGAGAGGTTGGGTGGATAAGGTTGGGCTGGGTTTGAAAGATTTGCACATGTTTCCGGTTTACTAAGCATGGTACTACTGCCCTAGTAGACCACCCGCCCTTACCTCTCCAGCAGTGGTGGGGAGGAGCCTGGTGTGAGACCAACTTCAATGGCAAGTTCAAAAGTGGGTTCAAAGACTGCCCTGTCCACTCATGCAGTGACAACGCCACCCGTATGCAGCTCCAGTGGTTATCAGAGGTGTCCCACTGACAAAGAGAATTACTTGTAGTAAGTGCCATTTTTTTGGCTGGTAACCAAACATCGCTAACAGACTGACATACTGGCCATAGTCTTTGAAGTTCAACAAGTTGGGCGTTGCCACCAAGACAAGCATAAGAAGTCTAGTCAGCAAACCATCAAGGCACTCTGCGCTGTCTACAGAGCCCACCCAGAAGTGTTTGATGAAGAGCCTACCAAGCTCCATAGTGACATCAACACCAAGGAAGATACCATGGTCAGTCTGAATTTTTTAACTGCGGGCAAATACTCACTCCAGCACCTAATTAGTTCACAGATCAAAGTATGCACACAAAGCTTGCTGGTGCAAAGACACTCACATTCAGCAATGGAAAATGCCACCATCATACTCTCACCTCACACCTCTTGCGCATGACTTGGGCTCCTCTTGCAAGTCTATCCATTTGAGTGCTAGCAGTGGCCACGACTCTGAGCCAGATGACAATGACACTAACTTACTTAATAGTGATGATGAGTTGGCTGATGACCATGATGCAGATGAGGCTGTGGATGATGATGACAAAGTCAAGTCGGTGGCTCAGAGTACCAAGTGGCCCTTGGACACAACATTTGAAGAACCAATGATGCCAAAGATAAAGAAAGGTATGGGTGGGTCAGGCCAGTATTTGAAGGCTGCCAACTTTGATGGAATCACCAAGGAAATCCTCACTTCAGCGACCACACTTTTCCAGTGCCTGATCATCACTCAGTCACCATTTCCTGACTCCATCATTGTTGAGACAAAGCTGCCAAGCAGGCTTGGCATGAATCATGCCAGACAAAAGGCATCAATGTCCAGCTGACACCTGTGTTGATGAAAATGGTGAGCTGTCTAATCTCACTGTGGTCTTGGACTAATTCATTTTGCTGTTAGATATCATGCTGGCTCAAGAAGTGTAGGGGTTGGGGCTTGGCTTCAGCTCTTGCACTGCGCCCTTAGCTGAGTATGTGCCCCGAATTTGGAGTGGATCCAACATTGTCCAACGATAGGACAAGTAGACCGCTTAGGTCCACTTTGAGGGTCAGGAGGTAAGTGCTACTAGCGGCGGGCCAACTAGGAGCGGAGCGGAGAAGGCAGAGGATAATGCGGAAGGTGGAAAGGAACAGGGGGAATACTTGATAGGGGCGGGGAAGTAAGGAGAAGACTTAGAGCACAGCTCTAAGTCAGAGTGGAGGATCGGAGGTGACAACAAGATGAAACTTGTGTCTGGAGGAGGCAAGGTCCTACTGAGAATTCTCACAAGTAGAGACTGCAAGAAGACAAGTAATATTAAGACTGAGGAAATATCTAAGTACAGGATATGTTATATACTTCTAAGTATGAGGCAGTGATCAGGATAACTATGTTGTAAAGGTATGTACCAAGGATATAATTTGTAAGTACTTACACAGGCGAAGACATAAGTCAGAGCGGATATCGATATGTATGTGTTGGATCAGTGATCGAGCGGTAAGAAGAATTACTGGTGATCCAGAAGTAAGGGTCTATTGTACCGAAGGGGAAAGTATATCTAAAAGGGGAAAGAGGTTCCAGTTGAATGGAGATGTTATGGAAGAGGACCGGTTGGGCAGTCGAGCGGAAGCATAGGAGCGGAATGCGGACTGTGATTGGATGGAGTGGAGGATGGATGGAGTGGAGGATGGATGGAGTGGAGGTAGTCGGAAAGCGGAGCAGATATTAATATCAGAGCAGTCAGATCAGGTATGACATTTGCAATCCAGATCTTGAAGCACACCTCTCACGTGCATAGTGAGCTTAAGACGAAGATGCAATCCCTGACAGGGTCACTTTTTGGCTTCTGCGCGAGCAACAATAGGGATGTCATCAGGTGTAACCATGATCACACCAAGAATCTCAAAGAAGGTTCATTGTTTGCTTACCAGGTATATCATGGATTGTCAGCGCTATCTACTACATCATGATCCTAACTGTTATACTACTAGGACTGGGAGTCAAAGCACGGCATCTACAAGACAGATTTGCTGCAGATGGGTGCCAATCATATGTGGTTTGCAAACCACAATGATGAGGATGTCATTCACCATGAGTACTTCAACCCCTTCCCAGTTGAAACCATGACCCTCATGCTCACAGCTGTTAGTTGCCAACCCAGTTCTTACTAATACCACTGATCATGTTGACACTGAACAGATTAAATGTTGTATTGATGAATGGATTACTGGAGTCAAGGAAGATATCAAGTTCTAAGCTTCAACTTATGCATCTGTCTACCATGGTCATCTCGACTCATTGCAATGCTTCAAGGAACACACTGCCCCATACAAACTCCTTGATAAAATCTGCATTGATCTCCATGACTTGGCTTGGTGTGTTCGGCTCCACTGATGAAAACTTTTCTAACATAATTTTGAAGGTTTCATGCGGGTGTCGACTCTCTTCTCACAATGTCTACCAGGTCTCATGTCAGCGAAGAAGCATTCAATGATACTATGCAGGAGTACAAGCTTGAGCTGCAGGATGAAGCTAGTAATGAGGAACATGAAGTGAGAGATGGGGCTGGGGCTGAGGGTGAATTAATTGATTGAAGGCTCATTGGTAATATACATGTTTGTGCTATTTGAATGTAATCCAAGTCTGCCATTGCAAGGCACACTGTCATATACCTGATCCGACTGCTCTAATATCAATATCCTCTCTGCTTTCCGATCACCTCCACTCCACCCATCCTCCGCTCTGTCCAATCATTGTCTGCATCCGCTCCTACGTTTCTGCTCAACTGCTCAACTGGTCCCCTTCCATAACATCTCCATTCAACTGGACCTCTTTCCCTTTTTAGATATATACTTTCCCCTTCGGTACATAGACCCTTACTTCCAGATCACCGGTAATTCCTATTACCGCTCGATCACTGATCCAACACGTACATATCGATATCCGCTCTGACTTATGTCTTCGCCTGTGTAAGTACTTACAAATTATATCCTTGGCACATAGCTTTACAACATAGTTATCCTGGTCACTGCCTCATACATAGAAGTATATAACATATCATGTACTTAGATATTTTCCTCAGTCTTAATATTACTTGTCTTCTCGCAGTTACCTCTTGTGAGAATTCCCAGTAGGACCTTGCCTCCTCTGGACACAAGTCTCAACTTGTTGTCACCTCCAACCCTCCGACCCTCCACTCCGACTTAGAGCCATGCTCTAAGTGTTCCTCTTATTCCTCTGCCCCTATCAATATTCCCCTGATCCCTTTTCCCAGCCTCCGCATTATCCTCCGCCTTCCCCACCCCTACCAAACCTTCCCCCTGCTCCTATCCACCCTCCGCATCACTCCCCGCCTTCTCCGCTCTGCTCCTAGTTGGCTCACCGCTAGTAGCTCTTACTTCCTGACCCTCAAAGTGGACCTAAGCGGTTCACTCGTCCTATCATCGGACAATGTTGGACCCACTCCAAATTCGGGGCATGTACTCGGCTAAGGGTGCAGCGCAAGAGCTGAAGCCAAGCCCTGACCCCTCTGCCTCCTGAGCCAGCACGGTACCTAACACACACATATCATACTATTTTGCATGATTAGGAGGCTCCGACAATGTTCACTACTAGTTTACCAAGTTACTAATGGATCTATATAGTGCCACATATTCCTATGATACAGGTAATATGTTGCGTGCTCTCATTGTGTGTAGCACATGATAGTATTATGTTGAAGCCTCAGGTGCTACATGGCACTACAGATTGGGGATGGCAGTAGTGCTACATATGGTATGTACACTACAGAGTACTATATGTTCATCCGTATTTTTCCTGATGGGAGACTAGGTCAACAGGATCGGTCCCTGTGGTGCTATGTGCTTACCCTCTCCTGGTGGTTCATCCCATGGAATTTTTTTTCCTGCAGCTCCAGCCCTCCAGGTTGGTAGGGTGCCTGTTCCTATTGATACCTAGAATATATAAATCACATAGCTGTATGAGAATAGCAACAGAATCCTTCTCTAGAATGGAATATCTCCTCCTGGCTATAATTCTGCATATTTTCGCATTTTTGAGGTTTTTCCATTGCATAAACTATCCAAACTGTTTATAGTTAACTTCTAGTACATATATCAAGTCTTTTCATGGCAAGGATCAGACAGGAATATGTCAGAATATTAATATCAGGGGTATGTCAGGGAGATTTGCTGATAAGTAATCTAGGGTCTCATGAGGATACATCTGTGTAATCAGCCACATGCTATATGGTGGGCCTATACCCATTATACCATCTCTGAATTGGTAGAAAGATCCATTCATATCTGAGTGAGTGATAAGCAAAGTAAATGTATGATTATGGTCTGACCATGTATGTAATAGGAGAAATACATGAATATACTAATATCTAGGTTGAATATTTTGTTACAAATGAACTAAATAGAATGTAGACTACCTAACCCTTATACCTTGATGGATCCTTCTAATACTCGGGGGCTGTGTTCCCTAGTATGTATAGTGTATATTGTGATAGTCCGATTATAATATACCGTCCTATACCTGTCTGACAGTCCTAATCAGTGAAAATAGGGGATATACCCTTGATATTAATATTCTGACATATTCCTGTCTGATCCTTGCCATTAAAAGACTTGAGATATGTACTAGAAGTGAAATATAAACAGTTTGGATAGTTTGTGCAATGGAAAAACCTCGAAAATGCGAAAATATGCAGTAGTATAGCCGGGAGGAGATATTCCATTCTAGAGAAGGATTCTGTTGCTATTCTCATACAGCTATGTAATTTATATATTCTAGATATCAATAGAAACAGGCACCCTACCAATCTGGAGGGCTGGAGCTGCAGGAAAAAATTTCCCATCAGATGAACCACCAGGAGAGGATAAGCACATAGCACCACAGGGACTGACCCTGTTGACCTAGTCTCCTGATATATTGCATATGCTATTGAAGGGATGTTGGGGATCATATTTACAAGTCTATATACCTAAAGCTCAAAAAATGTGTAGCCATTTTCTATTTTATGCTAGTACAGCACAGTGCATGATATAGGGCGCTCTAGGAGGTAAAAAAATAAGGGCTGGGATAGGTACATATATGTTTAAAAACATATTCTAAACACGCTAGAGTACCCCAATACCGGAGGGGCAAAAATGCGAAATAGTTTTTGATATGTTTTCTATTATGTCACACTTGCAGAGGCTCTGTACCAGGTATTAGTGCAAAAATAAAGAGAGAAAGCGGTCTATTATATTCTATTATGTGTATATAACCCATACTACTACATAAATGCAAGCTGTATCTAATTGTGATGTGGTTGGTGAGCCAGGGATGGATGGGGAGGGTGTGGGAAAGGTTGATATTGTGGATAATACCCAAAATGGGCTATGTTTTGGGTGTTGTGGAGAAGTTCCCACAGTAGGTGGCTGAAAATGCGAACATGTGGGCTTATACAGCAAGATTTGTAATTTAGAATGTAGGATACATTCCCCATGGACAGTGGACAATTAGAGTAGATGATGTATCGGACTTTTTGGCTAATAGTCCATAAAAGATATATCTATATAACACTATCGACTGTAAGTATCTACAGCATGCGAAATCAACCCTGTGAAATAGCAGGTCTCTCCATCTCCTCCACCACCCTCGACTATTAATTTGGCCCATTATCGAACGTTCCTCCACGGCAACCTTTTGCAATCGGGACCATGCCCCACAAAGAGGCAGAGTCAAGCGCATCAGCAAGGCGGACAGATGTGGGACGAAAAGCGCTGTCAGACTCACCAGTGTTTGTGAAACCTATTCGGAAGAGCGAGAAGAATCCGCCACCATATGGTGCACAGCACCGCCAGGATGCACTTTGGAAAGGTGAGCAATCACATTGTTATGCTTGCTGACTTACTCAAAAAAGCAGGCGGGAATGAAGCACTCCCTCCTGAATGGTGGCAGTTTGAGAGGCTGGATGGTACAACGGACTATCAAGACAACTCACTCATAATGAATTCATGGAACCGACCTTTACCAGGGGTACGACTAGGTGAAAGAACAATGTAGCACTAGAAGCGAGGAACTCATGGTTGAGCATAGATTATCCTGGGGATCTTGTTGTTTCCAGATGCGAATGGCATATATCACCACTCGGTCGGTCCTACTTGGTCAATCACAACACTCAGACCACATCGTGGAAGAAACCAACGCCAGAATGTCCACCAGGGAGCCTGACGCCAGAGTGCATTATCGAAGGTCACTCTCAATGCATATGGAGCTTTGTGTGCTTGAGCACCAATGGCAATATAATGAGCATTTCAGAAGACAGTTCCATTCGGCAGTGGACGAGAGACGGAGAGCCTGTAGGGAAGCCTTGGGGTGGTGACGGAGGAGGGGTAGGCTCAATGGCGGTATCTCTGGATGAAATGATGGTCGTATGCGGAAGTGCAGACGGCAGGCTACGGTTGTGGAACATCAAAGAGGGCAGCATGGTCGGCAACCCATGGGAGGGGCATATTGCTCCAGTGATATGCCTTGATTGGTCTCCCAATGCCCTGGAGATAGTAAGTGGATCGGAAGACGGCACCATACGACGCTGGAACCCAGATACTGGGCGACAAATAGCACCACCAATAGAGATCAGTCATGGTTGGGTGTATGCTGTCAAATACTCTCCACAAGGTGACAAGTTCGCGAGCGGCGGTGAGGACGACATGATCCGCGTGTGTTCAAAGGACGGTGAGCTGCTCATCAAGATCAAGGGACATGAAGACATGGTGGTGTCGTTGTGTTGGTCTCCGAAAATGGCGGTTGATTGATGGGCAGGAGCTTGTGACTTTTCGAGGTCATACCAACAGCGTCATGTCCATCAGTCTGACCCAGGATGAATGTTATCTTGTTAGCGCATCATATGATTACTCAGTTCGCATATGGGACCTCAAGACCAATCAGCCAGTTGGAGACCCACTCTTGCATGACGACGGAGTCGTGGCTCTTGACATCTCCATTGATGGAAAATACATTGCTAGTGCTGGATTTGATGCAAAAATCTATGTATGGAGCATGGAGGCTGCGCTCACACAGCATGGTGAAGATAACGTGAGCATACTTTTGTGTTGTCGGCATCTTTTCTAAGCGGGTTTTGGTTGGTATTCAGACTGCTAATGATGGCAATGCAAAACCCGACACGAAGCTCAAGGCAAGTCATCACTGCTTCTCTCTAACACTGCATCTGACCTGTTCGCTAGGGGTGTGTAGCCCAACCGAGA